CCTGGTCGTTAGGTCGCACCATCAAACCACGTAAAGTTGTCCCGTCCCTTTCCACCACTCGTGGGAGCCCGCCGCACCCACGCTAGTGGCACCGGCCCTCGGTATGGCCTTGTTGTAGCACCGCCGCTCGTCCTCGGGGCCGCCCTCGTGCTTGCATTGGAGGCTGCAGAGCTTGCCCCCTCTTCTCGCAGCCCCTTGTCCTTCCCTACTCCCAGCAATGGCCCTTTGTCGATTGCATCACTGCTGGGTGTTGTTCCTAGCGTGTGTCGGGCGTCATGCTGCATGCAGGTGCGCCCCCTGGTTTCTGCCATCGAGTGCCAGGTAACTTATCGCAACATCATGATGCTAGTTCCAGCACTACAACATGTCGGTCACAACATCGCCACATGCCGGTTCTAGAAAAAAAATCATCTTGCTGATCACAACTTGTAGTCTTGCCGGTCCCAACAAATCATCACCCAAGTCGCAACCTTTTATTATCGGTTCCAATTTGTGGAAAACATGGTCGCAACCTTCGATTGCTGGTTGCAGCAAATGGTGGTCGGCGTTCCAGCATCACCGGGTGCCGGTTGTAGCACCACGACGCCGACACGTCTTCTCCAACATCGATGGGAGCCCCGTCGCAGCTTTTGAGTACGCTGGTTCTAGTAAATGTTCACCCCGGTTGTAGCGATGACGTCGGCATGTTCCAACACATGGTCCCTGCATCCATCGTGTCTCCAGCATCGGGGCCATTTTTCTCCACCAAAGGTGGTTGCCAGTTGGAACACTATAGGCCATTATCTCCAATGCCATTTGGTGTCGGTCGCAGTAGCCTTGTTGAAGTGGCCCTTGAGCTCGAGCCCATGGAGGAGAGTGTGGTGTTGAGATGGAGGAGGGAGGTGCTTAGGCTGAGTTTTACAACAACCTATGTGCGGCGTTGTCAATGGGTGATCAGAACTACGTAGTTGCTCCTAGATTGTTTTACCAGGGGTTAAAACACTCCGATCACTCCACGCATGCGACAAAGGATTTTACGGTTCAAGCCACCATAGTGGTATAACACCCTATACTCATGCTCCAGTGTGTTTTTTCAGTATTCTTCCTCCTTTAGAAATGTTGTCGTCGTCCCTTTTTATACCCTCTTGCTCCTACAAAATGGGAGGGGGGGGGTCCACTGGCCCATACAGTGACGTAGGTTATATTGGGCTCATTTACTTTAGTCCTTTTGCTCTGGCGTGACCGAGCTCGTGCCTAAGCTCCCCTATTATGGTATATACCACGACGTTGCCCCTGCCTATGTATGGGCTCCTCTAGTCCCATCCCTCCTTTTCCGCCGGGGAGTGCCCGATACAAGTAAATTGTAAGCCAGGGGCAATCCTTCGAGAAGGAGAGGGGGCGAGGACAGATCTCTCCGGGCACCTTTCCTTACCTTCGTAGGCTTGAACACTCTTCGGGGACACAGTGGCTTCTTGGGATGGTCCAAGAGGGAGGGGGCCTTCCTGATTCCATCAACAGTAGCCCTCGGCCCCACCGCTTCTGGGAAGACTTTTTCGAGGAAACGGTTTGTTGAGACGCAGGGGGTGGGACCCTATAGGAGGGAAGCCATCGTAAACACCTGTTGGTAGACACCAGCGGGTGGATATTGCCTAATGGTGTCCTAGATAGGGGAGTGCTAACTACTGTTGGGGAACACAGTATTTCAAAAAAAATTCCTACGATCACGCAAGATCTATCTAGGAGATGCATAGCAACGAGAAGGAGAGTGTGCCTACATACCCTCGTAGACTGAAAGCGGAAGCATTATGACAACGCGGTTGATGTAGTCTTACGTCTTCACGATCCAACCAATCCTAGTACCGAAGCTACGACACCTCCGCGATCTGCACACGTTCAGCTCGGTGACGTCCCACGAACTCTAGATCCAGCTGAGGTTGAGGGAGAGTTTCGTCAGCACGACGGCGTGATGACGGTGATGATGAAGTTACCAATGCAGTGCTTCGCCTAAGCACTACAACAATATGACCGAGGTGGAAATCTGTGAAGGGGGGCACCGCACACGGCTAAACAATCAACTTGTGTGTCTATGGGGTGCCCCCCTCCCCCATATATAAAGGAGGGGAGGAGGGGGCCGGCCGACCCTTCATGGTGCGCCCCAAGGGGGGATTCCTACTCCTACCCAGTGTTGTCTGTTTTTTTTGGAAATCCTGGGGTACCCGTGTGATCTTCCTATGGATCGCCACCCAGGCTCAAAGGGACTGAAATGATTCATGCTAGAAACTTTCGTGTGCAGCCACAAGCTATTATGGGCTCTAGCATAGTTGAGTAAGTTACGTGAAGCTCTTGAAAAGGTAGATCAACAGGTAGTGGGTTTTGGAGGTTTGGTATGGTCTACCCGGAGTAAAGAGTTAATGTTTCTGAAAAACCGTGTCTCGGTCATCCGTTTCTCAAACACCATGTAGTGCGAGAAATCCAACGGAGGCGATCGGGTCTTGTGGGGAAAAGTGCGCAAACCTCTGCAGAGTGTACAATCTAATCATGGTTAGTCGTGTCCCCGGTTATGGACAAAGTTGAGTATCTAGTACTTGGGTTATCACATGTATCTCATCACTCTTAATTAATATTATTGGGCTGTTAACTACTTTAATTTGGGATTGAGTTGGGGTTACTTTCTCAATATTGTTCAACCACCATGATAGTTAAATTAAAAGCTATTCCTTGTTGTAGGGAAAAATTGGCTTTTCGCAAAACTATAAACATAGAGCTTTCCACCAGCCAAATATGCATGTAGTGATAGCATTATTCTGTTCTTGCTCTACTGTGATACTTTGCCAGCATATTCCATGTGCTGACCCGTTTTAGGGCTGCAACGTATTATGTTGCAGACTTTTCAGACGAGGAGTAAGGTTCGTTAGGTCGTTGCCGTGCAGCTCAGCTATGCCGTTGGAGTTGATGGACTCACTTTATCTTCCAAGCCTTCCGCTGTTATCGCATTAGATGGCCTTAAGCCATATTATTGTAATAAGTTCTCTCTTGAGACTTTTCGATGTAATAAGTGTGTGATTGCTACTCTGTTATAAATTCTCGAATACTATGTGTGTCAGCATTACTGATCCAGGGATGACACTGAAGCACGGAGACTTGACCATCTGAGGTCGGGTCGCTACATTACAACTTTAGGTGAGTGTTACTGTCTTGTGCATATTCAGTTTCGCTTACTCGAGGTTATAGTAATGTAATATGAGTTATGCGTGGGCAGCTTCCACTTTATTCTGCTAGAGATTAAGCTTGACCGGGGAGTAGTATCTGTCTTAGACTCGAGAAGTAAAGATCTCCAGGACTATGCAGACATGACTGCAATGCTTCATAAGTAAGTTCAACCGATCATTATCGCACCATATCGGCAACTTTATTAATTTCCTGATATCAAGTAATTATTTTCTTTGTCTGGCAGGGTTTAGAAAGCGTTCACCGAAA